ATGAATATAAACCACTGGGCGTTGAGATAATGAGAAATGGGGCAGGGAGGACAAAATTTTATGCAGTGTTTGTTTGGTGCCAAACAATTTTACATATGGTATTTCATTTAATCCTTATGGTAACATCTAAGTGAAAGTGAAATTACTAACTCAGCTCACAGACTGTAAAACGAAGAGATGATGCACGTGCCCCAGCCCGGGGTCACACTGCTAATTACGGCTGAAATTCAAACTCAAGTTTCTTTTACTCCGAAGTTCATATTGTTTGCACTTTATCACACTAGTGATTTTCCCAAATGGGATGTTGGTGATGAAATGAGATATTGTGACTTGTCCTTCAATGAGATATTTTCAGTTTTTACTTTTGGCTTTTGAACTTTATCTTTTTTTTTAAAGATTTTATGTATGTATGTATGTATGTATGTATGAAAGTATTTATAGAGAGATGGGAAGGAAGAGAGAGAGAGAAGGAGAGAAACACCAATGTGAGAAAGAAACATCATTCAGTTGCCTCAAACCCCCAACCCAGGCATGTGCCCTGGCCAGGAATCAAACAGGTGACCTTTCGCTTTACAGAATGATACCTAATCAACTGAGCCACACTGGTCAGGGCTGAATCATCTTTCTTATACATCTCTGCTATGTAAACATCAAGACAAAGTGAGTAGTATAATCTATTGGCTGTATATTAATTAGTAGTTATCTCATTTCTGAGCAAAGGAAATATTAGCACAAAAAAACATGTAACCACCTGACTGACAGGTCAAACTTCATGACCAATTTTCCTTTTAGCACGTGCAACTGAGCTTCCTTAGTTCTTCAGTAAATGAGAACCTAGGTATGCCACCTAAGCTACTGAGCAGTAGATGGGGTGAGAAGAGGGGAGAAAAGGGTACATTGAGAAAAAGAAACTTAAATGGATCTAGAGCAGGAGCTGCCAACCTCTAGGCCGTGTACCAGAGCCCATCTGGGCCACACAGCAGGAAGTGAGCTTGAATGGGATGTGTTTGAATCATCCCGAAACCATCACCCCCCTACCCCAGTCCATGGAAAAATTATCTTACATGAAATTGGTCCCTGATGCCAAAAAATGTTCAGGATTGCAGATCTAGAGTGTATTATGCTAAGGAAAATAAGTCAGGCAGAGAAAGACAAATATGTATGGTTTCACCTACAAGTGGAATCTAAAAATGAACAAAACAAAAACTGACTTACAGTAACAGAGAACAAAGGGATGGTTACACAAAGGGAGAGGTGGGGGGACTGGTGAATACAGTCAAAAGGGAAAGGGGAATATAGTCAGTAATATTGTGATAAGTTTGCAAGGTGACAGATGATTACCAGAATTAGTGGGATGATCACATTGTAAGGTATAAAAATGTCAAACTGCTGCATTGTGCGCCTGAAACTAATATAACCAATATAAGATTGTATACCAACTATACTTAAATAAGAAGGAAAGGAAAGTCAGGGAGTGATGAAGTTTTAGGGAAGCAAGTGAGAACAAGGAAGATCACACTCCCCCAAAATCACAATATTATTGTGGCCATAACTAGAGTTTTCTTAGTGATTAAATGACTCCTTTTTCCTTTCCTGTAAAATCATTTTTCTGTTTGCAGGGTCACAACTACATCTGTGCAGTTGCTGGTTCATTATTACATATTGCCCCAGTGTTGAAAAACAAGTCATCCGCCAGTTTAAATATTATTGACTCATTGACTGAATTCTTTTACTAGGGGTGCATGTTGCGATGAAAGACCAGTCTGCTGTTGTTTTTAGAATACTTACGCTAGCTGTATATGCAACTGCATTATTCTCTCACTATCATTTTTCAGTTTGCTATTATAAAGTACTAAATTTATGGTGGATTTTTGCTGTTTGCTATTAAAACATCCTAAGGTTATTGGAGAAATACACACTCATTAATCTTAAGGGGTTTTGTAAAACATGGACTGTCATGAAAATGCAAATAATCACTTGCCTTTTTCCAAAACAGAAACAGATTCCATCTCCATAGGTTTATATAATTCTTGCATTCATGAACATATCTGTCACGAGTGCCACTCATCTGGATGACTCTAAAAATACAGACTGCACCCAGCAGTCTTACTGCAGAATGGGCCAACTGCCCAAAAATGTTTGCTCAGAGGGGAGAATGATGAAAACTTGTTTGTTTGTTCTATCATTCATACTTAAAAGCTACTCATGAGCCTTAAATCTTAATGAATAATAACAGCAATAATAATATCAGTTAACATTTAATTCTTTATTACACAATAGACACCATCCTAAGCACTTTCTCTATAATATCTCATTTTTCCCCTTCAAAAACAATTCAATAAGGTAGGTACTATTTTTAACCCCATCTTACAGATTATCTGGTAAAGGCTAAGCTAGGCTAAACTACCTTGGGAAAGGGAACTTGCCTAAAGTCACACCTTGGGCATTACCAAGCTAGGACTGGAATTCATGATTTTCTGACATCAAAGCCCTGGGGCACTGCTTTACTGGTACCAACTGGAGGAAGGAGGAATTGTCCGTTCATCCGAGACAACTCCTAGCTATTTAGGACTGGCTTTTATACGACCTGGGGAAGCAGATCAAAGGAAAAGCTGTCACCACTTCAGCCAGAACTTGCCATGCCAAACATCGAATCCATTCAACCCTCAGTATCACTTTTTTCAAGAAAACATAGATCCTTCTTGGAAGGAAAATACATGTAAAATCTTTTTGTATTTTACATAATGAAAACACATTTAGATATGTCTTCCTGGCTTTCATATTACCTTCTCTGCCAGCGTCCAATTAAAACAATTGATGAAAGTTTCCATTAGCCTCAGTTGGTACACGGCTGACAACAGGCGGATCTTTTTTGAGACAGGTGTGCTGACAAAGCCCTCATCTGTCTTTGTGAACACCTCAAACCTCAGAATAGCTGAGTAGTATTTCTGTCCTTTAGAAAATTCTTACTGGATGTTTACTCAGACTTGCCTATGAAGTCAGCCTACAGGCTTTTCCATAAATACATAAATATGTACATATAGATAGAAATAAATGGAAAGAACATTTAAAAATCCCACAATTAAATACAGTAAGTTCTCACTTAACATGGCCAAATAGGCTGTGGCTTTAGGCAAAATGATGTATAACAAAACTAGTATTGCCACAGGCTAACTGATTATAAACAGGAGTTAAGTTCCTACAGCATCTTATTAATGTTATAACAAAACGACATGGAATGAAACCATGTTATTTAAGAATGTGCTGTATGCCTGTTATCCAATATTTTGAACATGTACAGCCTGCACTTGCCCTGAAGTGATTATTACATGTTTTATCCCCTTTTTTCCTGGGATGAGCTCTACACAGTTGTGTAATGGCAACATCTGTGTTTCTCGGGAGAGCGTATTTAATTGATTCTAATAATAGCATCTATCATGTATTAAGTACCTATTTTCTCCAAGCACTTTTAAGTTATGAAATTATTTCCAATCAGTATACATCTTAACAGTAATAGAGCTTTATAGCTATATATCATTCATGTTTTCCTGAATTTTCATATTTCCACTTTGTACTTTCTCTGCTTTGCTTTTAAGCATGGGTTTTCTTTTAGTGTGTGTTGATTTTCCTTAAACAAGAAAAAAAATCCATGAGTGCACAGCCCAACAATGCCCTATCTCTTTATATTGTTACTACTGACAGACCCATTTTAAGCGAGATGCTGTTCTCTTCTCTCTCACCACTCAAGATAACATCGAATGAAGACACACAACTCAAACATCTGGGAGTGATCTGACAGAGCCTGCCACATGCATCGATATCTTTGTAGTATTTTGTTTAGTTTTTAAATTCATGTGCATTTTGCATTCTAGTCTATAATTCAATCCTTTGTTTTACTATAAATATTACAAGGTTTTTCCACAGACTCTACAAGTAAATGTCGCATGACTGTGCCTCACATTCATGCCCAGGTTTATACAGCCCTCAGAAGTCTGCTTTGCTTCTGGTGCTATAATCCAAAAAGCATGACTTGTATATTAATTTTTATATTAAGGGGTATCAACCTGTAGCTAATTGCATAACTTGGGATCACTAGCACTATTGCCACTTAATTGTCTATAACAGATGTAAAGCAACTTCCCTCAAAGTGAATCCTTTTTTCCAAATGCCTTCCATATTATGAAATGCTTATGAATTACTGCAAGAAAAATTTCCAAAGACCAGGCTGAACACTTTTTTGTGGAAAAGGTCTCAGGTTTGGCAAGATGGATATTAAAGTGCTAAGATGTATAGAATCATATTCCTTACCCAGAAGTTAATTTCATTTTTATGTCTTTCTTGACTCTAGAGTATAAATCTTCTCTGGGAACATAACATTCCTTCTTACTTTTGTTTCTTCCTTTCCTTTCCTTTCTTATTTATGTTGTCTAACAGAGATGAATGTTAAGGTTCTACTTTATCACCAGGTGACTCCAAGCTGAATTTATTTTTAATTTCATGCTTCAAATTATACAAAGTGAGTTAGCATCTTTTTTGTTTCTTTTATAGGCTTAAAATAATCTATTTAGAGTTTACTTAAAGGAAGAGATTCCTGTAGCAATAAAGAGGCAGTGAAATATGGGATAGAAATTCAAAGGATGAGGCTTGTCTGATCCTTATATTTGTTAATATACAATATGTACTGGGTTTCTCACCTATCAGATAAAATCACTAATAATATACACAAAATTTCCTTGCAACTACTGCTTTTTGAGTTAATTTTAAGTACTGAGCTAGTTATGTCCATATTCTAGAGCTCCTGGTTTCACTTCCTGATTGAATCACATGGCTAAGATACCCCAGCCAATGAGACTTCAAATTCAGCAGCATGGTTTCTCAGAGAAAATAAAATAAAACCCCTTCCTGAGAACCATGATCCCACGTTGAAAGTTTACATGAAAGAAGCCCACACTCTCCTCCAACACCAGGGCAAGCACAAACACTGAACACGGCTTCCTTACCTGGGTTGGGCGGCACACAGGCACAGGAAAAGAGTGTATTGTAGCCCACTTTGAAGTCAGCGTTGATGGGGTAGTAATGGGCAAGCTTGATCATCTTCTTGAAAGCATCATAGATAAAGATGAAGCTAATCAGAGAAGAGAAGCCCTCTTCAGTGAAGCGAGTAAAGTACTGAACCAAGAAGCTGGCATCGGTGGCGACCAAAACGAGACACAGGAAGGCTGACCACAGGCCAATCCAAAGGCGAAACTCCAAATAGTCAAAATTATGGTCCCTGAAAAGAAGAAAGAAAGGTTACACTTCTCCAATGACCACAAAGAATAACATAAAACTACCGAATATATGCAGAAAGATTGCTAAAAATACGAAACCACTCTGAGCCTCTAGATAAAAGCTCGTTCTTGATTCCCCCCCCACCCAGAAAATATTAAGTTTAATGATTTGGTCTAGTAATATGAATATGCTACCAAAAAGAAAAAAATCCCAGTTTGAGAAAAGCACATCAAAAGTAGTCATACAATTTGTATGTGAATAACTCATTAATTTTCTCACTCAGAAAATGTTTTCCCTGCCTTCATGGAGTTTATAAAGCAAATAACTTGAAAACCTAACACTGTAACCCGGTATGTTCTTAATAAATGCTTGTGAGCTTTGCTCGCTAATGAAGACACTAAGGTAAATATGTCCTCTGTTCCCAGGTCTTCACAGTCTACTGAGGGAGACAAACTGATAAACACAGTCTCACTGTAAAATACTGCGTGATTTCCAAAAGTTCACACAGTGTCACAGAAGAAGGAGAATTAGCTAATTCTGACTGGGGGACAGTTGAAGCTGCAGAAAAAGACCCAAGGTAGGTAAGTAGAAACTTTCTGGAAGGGCCAGGGAAGGTCAGGCCGGGAAAAGGTGAAAGAGTTCTTAACAAGCACACGAGGCAGGAGATGATGCATAACGCTCACTGCGGCCACCGATGTGAGGAGATGAGATTAAAATCAAGGGCAGCAGTCAGATCACATGGGCTGCAACCAGGAGTGACCACTTCTCGACACTTACCTATTGACATGACACCCTTCTGCTGAAGTCGTGTGCGAAACAGCATCTTAGAACAGGCCGCTTCCATCTAAAGAGGCCAGTGTTTTTCAATGCCTTTCTATTTCTTACAAGTGAATGGTTCAACATTCACATTTAGGAAAAGATGGGCCAAGAACTGACATTTTACCATGTCATACTGATCACTTAAAATTATGTGGTGAGTGTTTTATAATATTTTTTCCTCATAACTTTTTTGTGATGAAAAGCAGATAGTAGTCATCACAGTTTTTGTATGGGAAAAAGAAATAAATCAATGATCATACATGCTTAAAGTTCCATATCCTCGATTTTAGACAATGGGTTACTGGTATCTGTTAGTGACATATTTAAGTACTTTCCCAAAGGTATCGTATCAACAGCTTCACCGTCAACAGCCCAGCCTGGGCCAGCAAGAATCCACTGTCCACTTATTATAAGAATCCCTTTACTGATATGATATCCTTACTCATATCCATGTTTATCTCATTCAAAGCCATTTTTCACATAACAACCAAAATGATCTTTTAAAATGTAAAGCAGATACTCCGAAGACCTTTTCATAGCTTCCCACTGCTCTTGGAATCAAATTCAAATTGTCCGCCTGGCTCATAGAGGTGTCCAATGAAGACTTGCTGGATGGATTAGTGTACACCTGTGACCCAGGACTTGAATGAGACAGTTCCTGACATTGACCTATGAGCTACCACATGTAATCAAGGGATAAAGGACTGAAAATTCTATAGAATATTAGATTTAATAGCTCCTTAGATAATGTGATAGTTAATTATTTTATGTGTTACCTTGGCTGGGTTATACAGTGTCCAGATATTTGGTCAAACATTAACCTGAGGGTTTTTGTAAGGGTGTTTCTGGATGAGAGTAACATTTAAGTCTGCAAACTTTGAGTAAAGCTGAGTGCTTTCCATAATGAGGTGGGCCTCATCTAGTTCGTTGAAGGCCTCAACAGAACAGAACAGAACAGAACAAAAATACTGGCCTCCCCTAAGCCACAGAGAATTCTTCAGCAGACTGCTTTTGGACTTCATCTACATCATGGGCTCTTCCTACTTCTAAAACCAGCAACCTTCAAACTTGAACAAGAACATCAGTTCTCCTGGGTCTCCAGCCTGCTGGCTCACCCTGCAGATCTTGGACTTGTCAACCTCTATAATCAAATGATCTAATTCTTTGTGACAAATCTCTTTATAGATGTACACACATCCTATTGGTTCTGTTTTGCTGGAGAATCCTGATTAACACAGATACTAACTAGTCAAATATGCCCACTGTATAGATGAGGGCACCAAGGCCAATGGGAGTTAAGTCATCTGTCCAATGCCAAGGTTTTACTGGCAGAGCTGGACCAGAAAACAAATCTCTGTATTCTGGTTCTGCTCCTTTAAAAAATTACACCGTGGTTCCCCTAGCCTATTTGCATTTACTGAGTAATAGGGTGGGCCTTCAAGTTATTGTCCTTTATTTCCATCTCCTCACCAAATCCCACAACTGGGAATCTACTACAAAACAGGAGACTAACACTGGAGGAGCGAGTTATGGGTTTCCTGGAATCTTGCTGAAGACGCCCTCTACAGTCCTTTCCAGTTCCTTTCCGTCTGCAGTTCCACTGTTTGCTCCTTATCTTAGTGAGAGACGCAGACTACACAGGAAGTTAAATTCCAGGAATCGGAGATAACTGACCTTGTCACACAGTGTGTCAGGGTCGGCAGAACTCAAACACCATTTAATCGCTTCTGAGCCAACAGGGTTTTTAATTAAAAGAAAGTAAGTTTTAACCAAGGACCAGTTTTGCTTCTAACAAGATGAAAGAGCGATCTTGATTTGTTCTAAGAATGTTAACAGTTGTTAATAGAATTGATGTTTCCAGGATGGGATGACATACAAATCCATTAACTAGCTAATGATTAGGAACATTAACAGTTTGAGTCAAAGGAAAAAAATGCACATAGAAACTTAAACCTTAAGACCTAAGTAATATACCAACCTAGCTTCTCTAAAATACTTAAATATTCCCAGAAGAGCTCTAAAAGAATAATCCAAATAAAAATCACTAAAACCAATGGCATTTCTTATGAAAGTGATATGTTTATAGCAGCAAGAAGAAAGAGAAATAAGAGATGAGAAACTTTTTAAAACAAGTTGATCAATAGTAATGACTGCAATAAAATGGCAGTATTACATCCAGTCCCTTTGGTGCCAAATTTCAATAGCAATTAAGTTATAAAAAGTAACAGGAAATTACAGTAAGAGACCAAAAAAAACTATGGTGAATTAGAAGGAGAAAATGGGTTTAAAGCCTTACGGTGCTATTCAGTATTTGTAGATATTTTGAGTTAGTGTCTGAGTAGCATAAAACCAAGGATACAGACAAACTGAAAAACTCCTATTTGAAACATTTTCAGCTACTGGCAAACCAATATAAATTCCTTAAGCTAAATGAATAAATATAGTAATATAATAGAAGGAAATTACTTTAAGGTTTCCAAGTAAATTGTTCAAAGGATACAAGAAAGAAATTGTTGAACAGCCAAGTATCAATTATACAGGCTAAAATTCAACTTTAATCATGAAGTTACTACATGGCTTAGAACACATTTTTTAAAAAAGATTTTATTTATTTATTTTTAGAGAGGGTAAGAGAAGGAGAGAAACATCAATTTGTGGTTGCCTCTCGCATGTCCCCTACCAGGGACCTGGCCGTCAACCGAGGCATAAGCCCTGACTGAGAATAAAACGGCAACCCTTTGGTTCTCAGGCCAGTGCTCAATCCACTGAGCGACCTCCTGCCAGGGTGGCTTAGAACATATTTTTAAAACTACTCTCAGATTCCTTACTAAAGAAAGACTAATATGATTCTCTATTACTGGGATGCAATATATAAAAACAGCACAAAAGAGACTGCAGAATTAAGAAACAATTGTGAGCTCTTTCCTTCACTCTATTACTACTTTTAAAAGTAGTAAAAGGTGACAGCACATCATTCATATTCGTTTATGACTCTCCAGTTTATAGGGCAAATATGAAAACCTATATCCCATGTCAGAGAAAGTCTGTGGATTATATGGAGTTACTGTTTGAGTCCATTGAATCTGCAAAACAAGAATGTACTTATTTCTAAAAAATCATTAAATATTTTGGGAAAAGCCTGGGCAAGACAGAGTAAAAGTTTTTTTACTGAAGGAATTCTCAGATCCCTTAGTAAGATACAGTGTAAAGTAAATTACCAAGGAGGAAATATAATATATAGCATTTCCCAGACTTACTAGGATCATGGAAGCCTTTTTTCATAGAGCACCTAAGAAATTACTAATCGATGAAACACACCTTGGGAATTAGTGATCTGCACAGATACTCTGCATCTAGACAAAATGTCAGCACTGTTATGATACTTAAGTAAATTACAGCATTGTGAATATAATAACAGGGTTTGCCACAACATGAAACATTGGAGAAACCCTGCTTTAAATCCATCGCTGAGTTACAATGTCTCCTGTTGCTTTACAACTGTTTTCAAATATAAGTCATTTGGAACTGTGTTTATGTTACCAATTATGATGAAACAGAAGAGAAAGTGAGGCAGGAACTTGCTTAGTAAAAGGAAATAATCTCTCTTCTACAATTATCTAAAGTAAACTGAGATGTAAACATTTTCTGTAGATTAAGGCTCTAATCACATTGTATCCAATAAATCTGCAAAGGTTGCGCATGTTTGTTCCTGTTTATAATACATGCTTGTTTAATCTTTCCATGAAGACTTTCTTGTCTCACACGATGTTTTCTTAAACATATAAAAATTGTTTGATTCTTTCTATAAACTGATATGAACAGGATTCTTTCCAATGTCATTCTGAGAATTATAAGGGAGAAAGAATGTCTAGTAAAGAGCTAAGAAAAACTCACATCATTTACAATTTAGAACTTTAGATTCTCAGAAGACCCTCACTAATGTTCTTAACCCAATTTTCAAAACACTAGTGTTAAATCCTCATCCTTTCTTCCTTGTGATCATTTCTCATAGCATACAGTTTCAAAGGCTTGCCACGTATGAGTCCTAAAGTCCATGAGGTATTACATAGGCAATGACATCTCTAACATTAAAATGCTAAAAATGTATAACATAAGAATATGGGAATTCCAACAAGGAATACTACAAGTTTTAAGGAATTCTGCAACCTGTTTAAGGACTGAGATCTGACAGTAAAGGCAATTTTCTCTTAGAGGCATTAAGTTCATTAGAAAGAGGCCAGAATACCCAATTTTATTTCAAATCCATTTGTGTGTTAATGTGGCCACTTGGATAATTTGCTTAACTCGATCTTCTCCTTCTTGCAACAATCCATCAGCTTCTAAAAGAAAATATTAATATCATCGTCATGCCCATTAGTTGTGCCTAGTGACTCTGTAAGAGGCGGAGGCTCTGAAGTCAGAGAGCAGGGATTCGTATCCCAGCCCTGCCAACTCCTGGTGATGGAACCTTCAGCAAACCATTTACCCACGCCGCACCAGCTTTCTCATCTATAAAACAGGATCTGTCCCACCTCATAGGACTGCTCCAAGAATTAAATAAAGAGTCGCTATTAATTATTCTATGCAATGCACATAGAATACTTGGTACATGGTCAGCACTAGACAGATATTAGTTTTTACTCAGCTGAGTCTTACAATGGATCCTTAGTTAAAAACACTGTAATTGAGGTTAGGAGCAGTGGACCATAGGAGCATCCAGGCTCTTTCATGAATGAGCCATGTGACCTTGAACAAGACATTTCATTTCTCTGGAATGTCAGTCAGAGTCCTGGCAGGAAACAGAAGTCATTCTCAAATGGGTTTCTGAAAAAAACTTAATAAACGGGCTGTTTACAGGGTTGTGAATAACAGAGGATGGCGAGGCACTCAGGGATGAGCAATCAGGAAGCCATTCCTACCTCCTGGCTTGAAAAGGCCAAGGAAGGAATAGAGTCACGAGAGCCTGATGGAGGCTGAGCCAGGGTGGAGGGCCACCACCCTACAGGAGCTACGCACAAGGAATTAGCCACCGCCAGACTGTGATGCGAAAGCAGACAGTAAGGTGGGGGGAGACATGCACGCATCCTGCCCTCTCTTCACCCCTGGCTGCTGGTGCTGCAGACTCAACCAAACCCCACAGGAAGCCAGTGGGGCTAGGAGCCCAAGGACTGCCTTCCACAGAGGTCAGGCCCCTGGGGTACAATGCAGGACAGCAAGGGGCAGAGGCTAAAGGCGGAGGGCAGGCAGGTAGTCAAACACACGGGCCTCAGTTGAATCCAATGTAAAATGACTATGTCATCTCTCAGGGTCTTTCAACTGCCAGATCTTGCAACGCCCGTACTCTGATCTACTGAGTTACTATTCTGTACAACATCTAGACTATGCTTGTTCTACAGTTAAACAATCCTAATTTATAATTAGATAGGTATATACATACTTGCTGAAATTAAATAGAAGCCTCTCAAAAACTAGAACAGGTCCAGTGCTGCTCAAAATAGTGAGTGGCTGGCCAGCAAAGAGGCAAAAGACGGCTCCAGAAACAGCTGTGCCCAGGAAGCTCTCCAACACGCCCTAATTAAGAGAGAAAATACAGGTGTTAAAAGAAACAGGTCTTTTTTCTCCTTGGGTATGATGTCACTAGGGACACTAAGCCACATGCATACGCTATTGTGAGGTCTATGGCAAACATATCAAACAGATATGAACAGTAGATTCTTACCAATACGGGTATGGCTGTTTATTTCACCATACACATGATTTAATCATTCCTCCCTACCTGACTGGCTGAATTGCTTCGAAGAACTGCAGTGACTAACATGACTGGTGGTTGACTACAGAAGGCGAAAGACGACTCCGATCCACTCTGAACATCTTAACTGAAACTTCTGCATATAAAATCACTTTATATAATCCCACCAAGTTTGTAGACATGATTTAAAACAGTAGACGGTGTTTTCCTCTTTGTGGTTACCTTGTGTTTGTTTTAGCCTTATTTCACCTCGCACATAGCAGGTACTTTTAAGTAGCTATACTTTATGCACAAAAGCTATTTTTTTTAGAGGAAAGCTTTTCAAGTGGAGAGGGGAGCAAAGGGGACACAAAAAGTGATTTGCCTTCTGTCCTGCAACCTTGAAGACATTAATTCCCCCCCAAATTCTTATTACATATTCATTGTCCAATGTAAACTTATACAGGAGCTTTGATTTACTCTTAGAGGAAATAAATGAGCAAGGACATAAATAGCTAAACTTTAGTGGCTACATTTTCCTGTAGTTTTATCTCTAGAAATCACCCATTGTTTTCCCTTTAGCAAGACAAGGACAAAGAAAAATGAGCAAAAGCATCACCAACTTACAAAATTATGCCAACTTTCTTAATCGCGTCTTTTGGGACCAACACCTCCGACGATGGCAAACGAGCCTGTTTCCTATATTCTTTATTTCAAACTTCATTTAGAGAAGTACATATTTATTTGCCAAAAGGTCCTTTTCTAAATTTAATATACCACTGATACTTATTGAGATGATTTTTAAATATAAAAATATGACAGAGACATTTAGTCTATACATAAAGCTATAAATCTGAACCACAATAAAATAATTTTTAAATAAGTAATGATATTCTATGGCTTCAAAAGACATAAAATATATTTAGTAGTAAATAAATTTATATAGCACTGGAAAAGGTGATCTTTGTAACTAAGTGTATACTAAAATAAAAGAGTACTAGGAAGATCTCCCTCTTCAGCTGAACAATAATTACTTGTTCATAGAAGTGTGATTTATGTTTATATAAAACAAGCCACCTGTTCATCTAAACAACCCTCTGAGTGCAGCAAAGTGGGTTTCTGGGAATCTGAGATGTTCTCAGTCACCCCGACCCCCAGTTAACCTCTCCACCTGCCAGCCTTACTAAGTCACCTCTTTCCACTGCGCCAAAAGTTCTCCCTAACTTTTCATTCACTTTCATATAATACACATAAAATGATTATAAAGAATTTTTTTTAAAAAAAATCAACTTATAAAACTGAAATAGACTAAGTGCTGACCACTCCCAAGCCATCCTGATTGTTCAAATTATTTTCACACTGCTTCAGAGTGAGCAATGTTCTCCTTAAAATGGCAGTAGCAATAGCACATCCTCCTTTTTTAAGGGTAGAGTTCAATTCAGAAAATGGATACAAATCCTCAAGCATAACACTCTGTACCAATGGAGGTGGGATGGAATGGGATGGGGCAAAAAAATCAAGGGTTGACAGGTCAAGACTGGCTTCTCAGAGAGTATACACATTCTGAAACAATTCAGGACAATTTCTTCTTCTGTCTAAAAAGTCTAAGTCTGATAGGAGGAGATCCTGTTTCCCTGGATGTGAGTTCTACTGCATGGTAGAAATGGCCATCTTCTCATTTTATTGCCATTTCATATGTAATCAGAATATCCACTCAATTTTTCCTCAGAGGGACAGGAAGCAGAATAATAAGCAAGGTTAACAGAACCAGACAGCGTTTATGCAGAGACAAGACTCCCTAGCACCCAGCAAATACTATCAATCTGGATGTCTTACACGTGAAGATACTGAGTTTCAGGGGCTTAAACAAAATGAACAAATCCACCTTCAATGTGGCACAAAGCATCTCTGGGGTATGGATACCTGCCCAACCACTACTTCCCCTTAGCAAGGGGGAAAGGTGCATCTTCACCTGGGATCTTCATGGACATACAGCTTTGTACCCGCTGTGCACTGACATTGGTTTTTTGTAATGTCTTTATAACTTATCTTTCTTTTTCATGACTTACTTTAGTGTGTGTGACATGAAAGGGTAGGACTGGAATGCTCCATGTGGCAGGACCAGCCACACTGGGCACCTGTGATAGGCAAAGTTACACTGCTTCTTTCTTTATCAGGCACGGAGTGCCTATTTTTCATCACTACTGCAGGATCAAAATACAGCACAGCCTGGGTGTGAAAGCAAACATGAAGGAAGAAAGGAAGAGTGTGAGATTAAGAATCTCCGCTTGATTTGACATGGCTCTTAATGACTGAGGGCAAGAACAGGGTCTCCTAGCATCTTCATGTTTTCCTTCCTCCCATCATGCTAAGCACTATACCTCCATGTGCTCTGCAGGCACTTGGGAGGCGCTAAAGGAATCCAAGAAGAAATGCCCAAGTCATACCCCCAGTTCCACCTACCAAAGGTCAATGGCCATCGTTGCTCATTCAGTAAAAATAACAACTACTTTCTTCCAGAAAATGGCTTTGATTTATGGATGCCATGTGAGAGTTAAAAGGCAGATTATTTTTATTTCAGTACTTGATCTTTGGTAAGTGCTAGAGTTTCCATTCTGTGGCTGACAATTTTGAAACAGGGAAAGGTGATTTATTATACACACTGAACTGGAAAGAAACTTACTTGAACTTAGAGATGCTTCCAACATTTCTGAGAAGAGAACTATTTTCACCATATTTTGACATGTTACTTTTTACAATACAGAAATTTAAAAAAAAATAATCTCATATAATAAATAACTTTAGTTTAACTGTACCTGGAATTTAAAGCAATTTACAAAGCGAACTATCAGAAACCCCGTTTCTAATTTATTGTATTTAGTGTTCACTGACATGAAAAAGGAAAATAACACGTGGCTGTGTGTATTTTTAATAGCTATAACTCATCAAGACACTTCTACACCCGGTTTCCCACGGGGGAGCAAACGCCCTAGCAATTCGTGAGAACGCGGGTGGCTGCACGCTGATGTGCAGCAGCGTCGGGCGCCGCAAAGCGCTCCCGCGCCACTTTGGTTCAGCTTTTACTTATTCCATTTCAGTGCTGCCACAAGAGAACAGCAGAAAGAAAAAATCTGGCAGTCACCAAATCTAGAGTCTAGACTTCCTTCTGCTACCAGAGATAATGATCTTGGGGATGTCACTTAGCCTTTGTCAAATATAGTTTTTTTTTTTTCCCCATGTAGGAGAAAAACATTGAGCTGGTAGAGCAGAGAAATGGACTCTGTAGTCAGACAATCTCAAGTTCATGTCTAGACTGTCCCGTTTACTCGATGACTTTAAGCTAGTTACTTAATCTCTCTATGCCTTAGTATATGTGGTAGATCGGATAATACAGGTTAAATGCCTAGCACAGCTGATAGGTAATACATTTGTGATAAACCTTAACATATACATAATGTATTTATTTAGATATAAGATGAAGCTGAACTAGATGATTTCCAAGGTCACTTTCCGGTGGCTCAGCACGAAGAGCGTATCTTGGAGTCAGGAATATCTGCTTTTAAATCTCAGCTCCACCAGTCACCAGGCTCTCTAACCCCTACTTCTCTCTTCTAGAACATCAATGGCTATGTTACAGGATGATCATTTGGACTAAATAAGGCGATACTATATAAAGAGCTAGGAATAAAGTAGACATATAGTAAAATGTTCCTTCACCTTCCTTCACTGCTCCTCATCCCCTTCATCCCAGCCTGCCTCTGTCATTTCTCTTTCCTTCAAAAGAGGAGGCAAATGGAGAGAGAAAATAAAAGGAGTGGCTTGAAAAGATGAATATTAGTCATCAGAAGAAAAAAGGAAAAAGCCTCTTTAGATCCTCAGTATTCCCCAAAGCAAATTCTAAATCAACAGAAGCCTTAGGGGGCAATACTACAGCCATTGAGAATAGCTTCTTTTTATTCCTTGTGCTACTAAGCACATGGAATTGACTATAGTAAAACAAAATTGCTTTACTTTACAGCAATGAATCCATATCCAAAACGATTTTTGAACATTTCTCTGCAGGATATGAATTAAACCAAAGATGGCCCTTGTTTTACAAAATGACCAAGAAAATCAGCACTAGTACACCCCTAAACAAAAAACAACTGCCCCCCCCCCCACAAGCCTAACAGAACTCAAACCATAGGAGCATCATTCTAAAGGAAAAAATATGTGACTCTGATTGGTAACACCAACAATTAAAAAGTAAAAATTTATGCTGTCAACTGTGACTTTATTGCAATTTAGTATCTCCATATAACCATTTTTGTTTTGTGCCCTTTTTTCTTTTTTAAAGAAATGGATTATTTGGAATAATAATCACAACCCTTTGGTTATTGAACTACAATAACAAAAAGAGCAAAGTGGCACAACTGCCCCCCAGAACAAAGACTTTTCTATATCTTTAACAACTTTCAACCAAGTGAAACTTGAAAAATAAAATATTTTGGTGGCAGATAATGATAAACCATTCACCAACATTACTGTTATATTTTAAACTTAAAAAAAATACTAAAATGTTTCTATCCATAAAAAAAAATTCTAGCCCCTGTTAGTGATAATTTATACAAACTGTATAGAATGCTGAATAATAAAATTAAATTTCTCTAGATAGGTCTTTGATTTTGAAATTTAGCCAAGAAAAATGATGCAGCCTAATGCCATTTAAGCATCGCCACTGGAAAGAGGCAGTGAGCTCTGAATTACCTGCAGGAGTTTTATGTCAGGTTCCCAGCACAAGCCAAGCCATATGATCAAAAATGAGTACAGAATGATGCAAGTGCACAGTCAAATCTGAGTCACA